CTATCATGGTACATGTTCAAAAGTGAAAATACATTCCAAAATTTTTTCATTAAATCTTTTTAAGAGAACTGCTCTAGGAGACTAAAACTCCTAGTAATCCATTTATTCATTATTGGCGTCAGTCAATCTTATTAAAAAATTACTAAGGAAATATACTTTGAAAGAAATGAAATATATTACTTTGTTTTACCCAGCAATCAACTTTACAGTTAAAAATGTTAATATCGATAACTAACCGAGTGAAAACATCCTCTCCCAAAAACTTATGCATTTCATCGGAAGCATACAAAATTTTTCCCGATGATACATCGACCACAGTTACAAAATGTTCAGCATTCTGGAAATAATTTCAATTTATAATTCCAATTTCTCTTAAGTAAAAGAAAAAATGAATGGAATTTTAGTTGCAAATCCTGTTAAAGAAAGCCAGTGAAAAAATTTCGACGAAACACATTGCTGTCAATGAAAATGACACTTTGATCTCAAATGTTATAAACTTTTAATGAAATTGAGAAGCTTGTAGGCAATAATTTCAAACATTTTTGAGAAGATTCAACAAATCACTGGAAGTAACATGCTTCGCGCAACAATTACAGTTCAATTCTTTATCACTCGATGTTTCTGAAAAACTAAATTATCTATTTGATCTTTCACCTCTACTTCAGAGCAATCCTAATGCTGTTTATTAGAAAATTTCTCGGTTTCCATGTCTTTTGATACTGTGATTTTCAATCCAATTGACAATTCTTGCATTTGCTGGAGCTCACTTTTAGCACGATGAATTAAATTTTTTAACTAAATTGAAATTGCTAATGAAATATTCATACTCATTGTACTAATGTGATCAAGTGCAAGTCGCAGTAGGGAAAGCTTATCAAGCTTCCGACAAAATGTTGAGGGTATCAATGCAGCCAGTTGACCCATCAGTTCATTCATTCGATCGCGGCGTCGTTTTTCGATTTCGGAATGATTATTGCTGTTAGCAATGCGATTTGTCAACGGCGAATTTAGAGCAAATTCCATGCAATCATCGTCACTAGAATAATCAGATTAAGTGGTACCCAACATACGAAAAATCGATACTATTAGTGAAGAAGGAAATCGACAGACGTGCAATATGATTCAAAAATCCATCATGTAATTTTTTATCATTTATCCTAATGATCTTCGGATATATGCCTATAATAAAAGATTGATGCATCATAACACAAAGGCCTTCAGTGCAGTGAGTTCTTTAGTTACGGTACAGTTCCATGTGAAACTTATTTTTAATCCACTCTCTGATATGGCAATTGCTAGACAGTTTAACAAAGTAACAAAAATATACGAAAGTAGGATTTTGAAGGAACGGACAAGAAATATTTTACACACAGCAACTTCTGAAAGACCATTTCAAGCATAAATTTTACACTTCAAACCTTTGTTCTCATTTTGTTTAAAGAACTATAACATTAATTATCTGCTTTTCTTCGAAGTAATTGTTCTGCCATGATCAGGATTCATTAATTTAATAAATACAAATTCGTTTATACAAATTCTTTTCACTCTTAAAATAATTCAATAATCTATAGTTTAACGACCAAATTAAGGATATTGCAGCACATCATTACATCGCGACGTGATTGTGATTGATGCTATTGTCACCAGTCATTTGTTTAGCCATATCAGCACTCTCATTTTGGACGAGAGCATAGTAATCAATGATGGAAAACTTGATATTTCAATATTTGCATCAGTTTTTCGCGTTGTACAATCAAATCATACAGTGCTTCACTGATGTAATGAAGTTGTGGAGTATGTGAGAGGCTTCTTGAAGTAGTGGAGAGGAAGTTGGAAAGATGCGGGTGAGACTTTGTAGCATTCGGTATATCATATGATGTCATCGATTATCCTCAGCTTACAGTTCCATTCATTTCATTCTCAGAGATACCTCTTAGCCGAAGTTTGACCATTGATCATAGCTCCGGCTTGCTTCTTGTTTATGAATGATATTGCGGCGAGATGAGCTGAGGCAATTTCAAATATCATTGGTCTGGGTCGATGTCACCCACAATAAGAAGAGCCTTCCTTAACTGTTGGAAGGCTATCCTTGGTGTTTTATTTGCATCCCATCGTTTGTCCCTTTGTCTATTTGTAATGTCGTTAAATCGCTCTCGTTTGATAAATGATGGTGAGTGTAAATTAGAGTGTAAATCATCATCATTAATGCAACTTACCCTATATGTGTGTCTTGTTTTCCTAAAGATCTTAATCTTACTGTTAATATAAAGGAATGAACCATAAAGGACCATCAACATCTCCTAAAGATTATTTCTCAGTTGCCGGGAAAAAACAACTCAGTTGTAATACAGCAATGATCCTAATAGGTGCCAAATTCTTTTTCCGCTCTTAGTTTTCCTCTCTTACTCTCTTACGAAGTGTACAAGTGTACAGGTATCGAAATGGACCACAATTACGCAATATTTGGTGGTAATCGAATATTTATTACCATTTTGCAAAATGGAAAAAGAAAGCTTCATCGGAGCAGTATTATTTGTCTGTCTTTCTGTCCCACTCTATTCCATGAATTTGTCCATTTAATTTTTTCATTATTCTAATAGCTTAACAACTGTTTAATGCTCAGTAATGCTGTGCCAATGACAATCACAAGAGTAAATTTACCACCATCTAAGATGAAATTCGAGTGTTAGATCTTGCACGAATAGCCAAGAGAGTAAGAAATATTTCATCGGCATTTGTAACCTAGCAGTTGACCCTAAAAGTAGGACTTCCACGCTTCCTACACATGATGCCCAATAGAAGTGTCAGAATATCATGAAATAATTCCTCTAATTTCTGGATAGATTTCACTGCTCGTTCGAAATATGCACCGATCACATATAGACTATTACATGGGGCTCCTTTGGCTTAATAGTAAATTCGAAATTTCCTTCAAAAATTTCAAAATTATCGATTATCCACTCTGCGCTGCTCTTCTTCACCCGAAAGGGTAAAGAAGAGGTTAGTCCCCCAAGATGAGGATAGGGTGACTCGCCTGACCTCTTTTACTCTAGCCCTAAATAGTGGAGTGGACAGTTGCCTTCTTCAGTGTGCTCTACCCACTGCGCCGCCATTAAACTGATTGAATCGGTCGCGCATAGGTTCATCCTCCACAGGTCAGGCAATGACAGAGCATGGATGGATTGACTGTTGAGTAGTTCGAGTTCTGTGTCTCTTTCATTTGTTTCAGTATTCAATACTCTTCTATCCTATTCCATCTTGTTCTGCCATCCTTCACCCCTCCTTCTCCTTCTCTTCCTTCAGCTATTCATCCAATGTCACCAAGTAATGCTAACCTAAATGGCAATTAGGGTGACCCCTTTTGTCTATTTTCCATAAGCTTACATCATTTTGCATCTTTCGCTCCCTCCTTTCTGCTTCATCTATTGTATGCACTTCATATCACTCACTGCTTTTCTTTTCTGAAAGATTCCTTGAAATTTCATTTGAACTTTGTCAAGCCGTTTAAATTGAAAAGAGCAAATCTAGGGAGTTTATTAAAGATTTTCGAAATTCAAAAAGACCACTGCTCTTTTCCCTCATCTCTGTGCAAGCTTTTGATTGGAAAAATCCGCACTATCTTCTCATCTAATGCTTTCTGCCCTTAGAAACACCAATTCATATATTAATTCTCTTCGAAGTAGCCATCGGTTGATGACCCATCCTCCCTAGAATTTTATCCTAGCATACTTATCTTCACCTTTCAATGTTCAGCAAATCTAGTTCCGTAACCCGAGAGCATCATAATCTTTGTGCTGTTTGTCTTGATTCAGAAAAAATTATGCTAATAATGCCTCTACTTTTCATATGCTTTTGATAAAGTGACATGAACTCAACACATTTCCCTACTCATCTAAATTCGGATCCATTACACTGGTAAATTTGAATTCTCCTTCGATTCATGCATTCTAACATCTTTTAACGATCCCTAAAAATTGGGTGACAATAAACTAGTCGACATATGCTTTTGATAAAGTGACATGAAAATAAATTGAGACAGGACAATTTTGTCGACAAAAATTGATAGCAGTGATTCATTTCGAAAGGAATACCATATCACAAGGCTAATATATTGCTTATCTATGTGCAGAACGTTTTATCAGTTCGGTATTAGCGACCAAAAATCTATTCATTTTCTTTCAGAAAGTTATAGTTCTTTTTCTCGCTATACGAGTGATCAATTTGCTAAACTTCTGCGATAAATTCAACCTGGAATATCAATGGAATAAATTTCACACTTACTGGACGTTGCTAGCACGTATTACTAGATTTGAACTCCAAAAGTGATCTCATTTGAAGTGCCATAAACGTGGTTGTGAAGTATGCTGGGTATACCATTTCTGGATAGTGCATTTCTAAAGATATTTTCACCAACAACATATGATGATCGTATCGACCGACTTAATTATTTTGTCACAAGCTCTTTATTAACTTTCTTTGCTATCCTCGTCTCAGCGAAACAGTAAGTTAATTCCTGAATTTTTTTAAAAAATTCAATCCAGTTTTTCTACAGTTTTGTTGCAAATTTAAAATGGAACGATATCTACAAAATATTCTAGTGATGCTAGTTTCGGAAAGCTTGGATATTTCAGATATGTGGGTTCGCCGATACAATGTTGGGTGCCTATGGAATTTAAAAGTGGATGGGAGCAATATACAGAGGATTACTGCTTCATACAGGTTTCTTGCTACGTTTTGAATTCAAACCCTAATTTATAAAAATGAACAAATAAAGTCATTCCCAAAATATCAAATTTATTTAACATTGAAATGGATAACTAGACTTCATATATAAGCCGCTACTGTTTGCTTCCAAAGTATTGTTAATTTTGATGTGTTGATTATGTGACTTTTTTTATCTGTTTTCTGTTAATGGAAATATGTATGCAAATGCGTTTTGAATTGAAAAGGTCGAAGAGTTAAAAAGACTTAAAATCACAATTATAAATAATTGTAATAAAAAGCTATTACAATTATATTCAATACAGAATACCTACTGGGTGCACTTCGATGACCCAGTACCGGAAGACGTGAACGACCGTCACGGAGCTGAAATCGGTTACTATCAGTGGGTACCAATTATGTTGGTATTACAGGCCTTGATGTTTTTCATTCCAGAATGGATATGGAAAACTCTTAACAAACAAAGTGGTTAGTTATTTCTAATTTTTTTTTCAAATTTTCAAGCGCTGAATGCCAACCTCAGGATTTCCTTTTTTTTTGAATTTTTTATTCGATGAGAGCCACTGATGATACCCATTAACCAATCGAACAAACGGGATTTCTATATACATCAGGTAATGAATGAATGTTTTGAAATATAAATGAAAATAAATTTCACTCCAAAAATAGCCTTTCAATTCACAAAGTCATTGGCAACAGCGCACTGTATATGATATCCTATAAATACAAGCTTTTCGATTTATTTCAGGCCTCGACTTGGATACGATAGTAAAAGAAGCGAAAAACCTAAGGACATCAAAATGTAATGAACGGACGAAAGAATTAGAAAAACTGGCACTGTTTGTTGAAGAATGTTTGGAATTTGACACACCTCATCACCAAAACCGTTACTTCTGTTTTAATTACGGCTACTCATTGGGTTCCTATGTAACCTTGCTGTACCTATTTATGAAGTCACTCTTTGTTATCAACATATTCAGCCAGTTTATGATCCTCAATAACTTCCTTGGTACCAGTCATAGTCTTTGGGGATTCCAGGTAATTTTATTAGGATGCCTGGACTAAAGCTTTGTCTCTTTTTTCCTTTTTCTTTCTAACATTCAATAGCTAACCTGAGCTTCATGATTTGCAAATTCTGCAGTGCTGTAAGGTTAGAGTTTTAAGGAAAAATCATAAATATATTAAATGTACAATTGAGGATCTTAGATATTGTTGGATTTATGGCAAGGCCGAGAATGGTTGGATTCCGGCGTGTTTCCACGTGTAACAATGTGCGATTTCAAAGTGCGACGCTTAGCAAATATTCATCGGTATTCAGTACAATGCGTTCTAATGATCAATATGTTCAACGAAAAAATATATCTTTTCATCTGGTTCGCTTATCAATTTTCAATGCAAATAGAAAATAAGTGAACATCACAATATTCAAAAATTCCAGATCCATGCTGATCACGAAAATATTCTAATGTCCAGTTACATTTCATGTGCTTACTCACTCAACTAATTTATAAGAAAAATGTTACCGTGCAGATGACAATAGTACCTCTAACAACTGGTGAAGCTGTGTTGGGTCGGTAATATATGTGGTGATTTCGATACCCATGATGATTAGAAGAAATGTGAATGAAAGATGACTGTGTTAAGGATTGCCGAAATATCATTTTTAATTTGTTAAAACTTAGCGGCTATTCAAAAGGACAAGATTTATAGGTTTTGGTTTCTGTTTGTTGCTGCATCCACACTACTTAATTTCATCTACTTCGTTTACAATACCATATTGGCCTCAAATCGGGAACGTACAGCGCGATTACTCCTTTTACATATGAAGTTAGATGAAACGCCTACGGACCAAGCAATATTGCGTCGTTTTGTGCATAAAGCACTGCGGCCAGGTTTATCGCTATCATTTTCACACTAGTGGCTATCATTTATAAATTTTTAAATCACTGCTCTAGTTTGTTCGTCATTTAGCTTCTTAGAATTAGCTAAATGCTATCGGCTATCGAAAAGGCAAAATTATGATTAAATCGCATGGTTTCATTAACAAAATCTTTGACTATTAAGTTTCGAAATTTCTTAGAAATACAGAGTGGAAACATGCAAACTATAAAGACATACCATTGTGCTACTACAATTTCAATCGTAAAATTTATCTACCAAATTTTTTTTTAAATTTAATTAATTCTAGACGGTGTGCTACTTTTGCGATTTATTGATATGTATGCTGGCGGTATGATGGCACGTGATCTTTGTGGACAACTCTTCGCCGATTTTTACCGGGAACAGTATCATCGTGCAACTGGCAGTCATACAACAAAGAGCTCATCGCCAAGTCCTGATGATGGCTTTACCGAAACACAGTATGACCCGGAAAAGGTAAGCTATCATAACAAGCCTTCGGATTATTTTGAATTTAAAGAGGCAAGGTTACATATTGTTGGTAGGATATGCAAAATAAAAAGTAAAGAAGTCCATATTTTTGGTTTGATGCTTTTTTCCTAGGATTCCAATTTATTGTGGAAAAAGGATAGAAAACAATCTTGTGATTACTGTCAGTTTCTATCTCTTGGAAAACCTGGAAAAATAGAAGTAAACTAATTGTGATACAGTTAGCGTGGAGAAGTATTGCCTATTTGGGATTTGTTAAATCGTACTCACTGCTAATCCTCATAATTTACAGCTACATGGTCCACTGATGCAGCCAGATGCATTCACACGAGCGGTTAAAGGCAAAGCTTCGTAAGGAACATACTCATGATCGTGGTTGGGCATTATGGCACTTAGTTAAAAATACTTCAATCGCTTCTTCGGAACGATTCACAAATGGTGCTGAGTATATTGAATTTATATTGTTTTTTCGAGAAAATGATATTTCTGTGATTCATACCGAACTGGCAATTCTAGACTTTTATCTTGTTGAACTGACTTATGCTTATTCGGCTGACAGAATCTATAGAGTCTGTTAACTTGTTCCCTTTTTTATTGATAAAATTGCTAAAATACTAAATTGGATCGAAAAATAACTCTTTCTAGTTAATTGAATAAGTTTTATATGATAGAAGTTATGGAAGCATATTACCCAGAGAATAAGAAAGAGAACAAAAGAACTGAAGAATTTTCGGCTAACATTTCTGGTTCTCTTCATTCAAACCGCACGCTTAATTTAGTTGCTTGATTTCCTTTTTTTTGTTTCACTGCTGGCAGTATTTTTGCAAGCCGTTATAAATCCAAAAATTTTACTAAAAAAAGCTTTGAAAGAAAATAGAAAATAACACCTATAGAAAATGCCTGAATATTTTTTTATCACTTATTCTCTTCCAATAGTTGTTCTTATTTTTTGTTAAACATTTTCGAAATTTCCAATGACTTTTGATTTGTTTTTTCCTTCAAAAGATGATAGGTTTTTCCAGCCTATTCAGGCAGCATTAATTCCAAAATTAGGACTTTTTTGGCGTTTAATAGTATAACTTTTTGTCAACTGTTAAAGACTGCTATGCTTCTCTACAACTTATATGTAATGAAAAAAAAGATAGCATATGATGTTTGTAGTTTATAATTTGGACAGTATATTCAGAAATATTACTACGGAGATATAGAATCAGTACAAGGATGAAATATAATGATCAAAAGCAGAAATTAGATTCTTAAGTAATTTTGAATAACTTACGTCACACTACAATTTGCAAGTTTATCATCGTGTACTTTTCCGGTCATTCTGAGCAACTTCTTCGAATTTGTTTTCTGAAAATCTCTTGTGGATTAATTCTGAAGAAAGTTACCAAGTATAATTTCAAGCAAAACGATTCGTTGATTGCTATTTGTTCGTTTTGTTTGCCACATCTTTATTCATAATTTTTTCGTTTAACATGTATTACATTTTGAACTTTTTCGTCATATCCAACCGGTTGTAAAGGCAAATATTGTTAAACTCTCGAAAATTGTCGGGACCTTAAATATTTTTTAATACCAGTCATATGCATTTGCACTCGATAGAGACTGTTTCTAGTTTACTGATATTTTATTGCCTAGATGCGCAGATGCAATTTACTTTAATTTTTTTTTTCTGAAATTTCCAATATTCATAGGTGCGATCGGATTCTGATCCCGCCAAAAAAACTCGTTCACTACAAATGCAGATCCTATTTGCTAATTGATAAAATTTCAACAAATAATACTAATTATGATCAAATATGCTTTCAAAATTAAGGGATCTTCATATTCCGTAAAATCGCTGTTGCAAACTTCACCAAAATTACATAAATTGCATATTTCATTGCTCTCACAACTTTGTTTTGAAGATTTGATTTGTTCGCGGAAATCACCTAATCCAACTGGAAAGCGCGGTACCGGCCTTAGAAGCATGTTAACCTCGAAAAGCATAAAAGTTTGAAATTGGAATCGGACTACAGTTTTAGGCTTCTAGAGAATCTCTACTTTTAAAAGATTGGAATAGAGTTACATTTTGTAAGATCTATTGTTTTCTTCATATAAAATTCATGATTTAAGAAAATTAAGGATTAGATTTTGAAAACTGAAAGCAGACAGAAATGGTTACCTTGGCAATAAAATATATTGGCAACGTTTTGGAGTGATTTTGGCTTTTTCAATAACCACGGAATTGATTAGCAGTTCGGTGTGACGTGTTTCGTATATTCGCAGGAGTGGTAGGGCATACACATATTTTTGAAGGTCACAGCTCTTAAAAGTTCACAGTACCGGTTATTGGTGCACACATTTTGAAAGGGTATGCATCTCCAATGCAATTCAATTGATCTCAGAATATGTCAGATTGTCGGCATACATTATTTCCAGCCTGGCTGACCTACAGGTCATTGAGCAAGGATGCATTACGAAGGCGCGAATGAGATATTTTTAAAATGATGACTGAGTATGAACTGAAGTGTTTCATGAGAAAAGGAAACTTTGAGTTTCAGGATTCGTGACTACTCAACAAAAAATTTACGCCTACATTTTCTTACGAAATAAAAAATCGCCTTTCAGCAGCAGCGTCTTGTGCAGTAAGAAAAATGTAACCATTTTGGCAGTCTGATGCTGCCTTTGAATTAGGCGTTGTATGAGAATCCAGGCTTATTAGGACGGCAAAGGGAATTTCTCATGCAAAGTTACCGTTACACTGTCAACACATAATAGAAACCATATAATAGGTTTCAGCTACTCCACGTTAGATTTGAAGCTTCAGATTTTCTGTAAAACAGCACAGTGCCATACCGGATATACCAAGCTCGAAATCAATTAAATGTTAGCGGTTTAACCGCTTATTTAGGTCCACTTCCTAGTTAGACTAATGCAGTAAGAACTTTCATTTATTTTACGTAAAAATGTTAACAGCTTTATGTTACTATGGACTTGATAACAAATCGTAACAAAAATACAGAACTAACAATGATAAAAAAGTAACCCATTCAAGAATTATCCACACTGTTTTCCTACATGCCTAGGGTGTTTACGAAATTTATCTTCACGATTTTTCTATGCATTACATCATATGTGAAGATATCGTATGACGTTTTTTGGAATTATTGCAAAAGAGCCGACGATGTATTTCAGAGCGGCAATTTCGATTGCCGCTCTGAAATGCATCTGTGTCTTGCACTTATTCAAACTTCATTTGAGTAATTGAAGCATCCTGAAATGCATTATTTTTGAATTTCTTTTCTCTGATCAGTGTTAGTTCAAACATACGTCTCAAATTCTTTTATAGGAATTATCCGTAGGCATGATAAGTCAAGTATTTGCTCTTTGCTAGAACTGCAAAATATGATGTAAATTAAATAGAAATGAATAAATTCACATTTCACAATACACCATTTTCGTGTCTATTGCACATCTTCGATAACATTATTACCGTACATGGAGAGACAGCAAGCACTACGTACGACAATCTTAACTCAAAAATTTCTAATAACAGAATGGAAACAGATTTAGGAGATTTCCTTGCATCTGCTACGAAGATATCAATTTCAACGTCACTGGATCGAACATATCCGGAAACTGATCAAGTTTTTGTGCAAAAACTGTCAACTGCAAAAGTGCATTTAAAATTTTAGATATTGTAGGATTTAGCTCCAAATTAGTCAAAACCATTAAGCCTTGTGCAAAGCTATATTATTTTTTTGTGTAATTTCACTATGATATCAAAGACAAATTACATCCTCGTGTGCAAGATCCGAAATCGAGAGCTCAGCTACGATCGAAAAGTTGATTGCAACTGGTTCATTTGGATCACCTGGTAAGCTTTTCAACATTTCCCGCGCATCAAAAACTTGTCCTTTATACAATAAGCAAATCGCCATGTTGTTCCGTAGCTAAAAAGTTTAAGGATATTTAAATGGTACTGTTGCTTTATGGAAACATTTATACTGACCAACCGAAGATAAAAGATCACGGATGATACAGTTCAAAAAGCAATTCATATACAAGGTTTGCAAAATAAACTATTAGAATTTATGCAAAGCACGCATTTCTCGTTCTCATTTAGTCTAATATAAAGAAAAAGGCAACTGAAATTACAGCACTTCAGAGGAAGCAAGTGAGTTAAGATATTTCTGCAACGTTTCGTAAGCTTCGTTATAGTTGCCATAAAATATATACTTCAAACACCTAAAATATTCAATTTTTATTTGTAAGAATGCATCATTAATTAAAGAGAATAAAACTTAGAAACTTGAACAGAAAAAAACCCTAAGTTGCAAAACTTTAAATAAAAGTGAGCAACATGCTTGTGTAAGATTTGATCGTCATAGGTTGCTGCAGCGATTTCATTCGAATAATGTTCTAAGTTCTTTTGATCACCGATAGCCATCGCCATTCTCATTAACATTAGTTTGAGGGCTATTTCTTGCTCAGAACTGAACCCACCTGCTTTTGACAAACGATTATATAGGATCATGGATGTTGAGTACTCCTATAATTATGCTAAAATTTTGGTAAAAGCATTCATCATGACGCACGTTTGACGCACAATTATTGACTTATTTTTTTACAGTGGGTGAGACATCGCACTGCAACCACTTTTTAAAGGACTTATTTCACTTTTTCTGTCAGTTCAAGAAAACATTTGCTAAATGTACAACCTTTAAAAAAAATAAACTACGAGCACGCATTTTTTGCACGGCTAACAAACGATCCTCCCATATTTTGAAGAAATACTTGCTTTTGTTCATTGAATTATCCAAAACCTATAATGTCAAATTTGTTGATTTAGTTTTCTAATAAAACTAATATCACTGTGAAAATACAAAAATTTGATTTTAAAAAATGCAGCCGATAAGTTACTTTTTTAACATTTTTCTCCAGCCTGTCAATTCTTTCTAAAGTTGCCCATGGGTTAGAAGTGAAGCGTAATGCCTCGGCATGAATCAAGCGCATACTGAATAGCACCAAACTTCCTAAAACTAATGAATATTTAAAGAAACAAATCCAAACTAACAAATTTAATAACATTCGAAAATTCGAAATCGTTCCGACTATTGTTTCAAAAGAAGGCATTTATAAAAATGTAGGATATTTTTAATGTCTGATTACACACCTCTGGGACTTTCTGGATAGAGACTGGGGTAATATTGATAGAACATATCTGGTGCATCCAGTTCCTCGAATGGTATCAACTCGTCATTCAATAATGTATACAGTTTCAAAGCCATAAGCAACTGCAAACGGCACGCCCATACCTACGACAAAAATCAATCCGAAATAAGAATTTATATACTTGATTGACATATCGATAACAATCGATCATGTCTATCTACAAGCTAAGCGTAAATTACAGCAAGGATATGAGAAAATCTGTGATATAATGTTTAAAAAAAACTTCGATGTCTATCCATGTAATAATATTCCAAGAAGTAAACCTTAAAACTGTACTCCGTATTGTTCGAAGGTTGACCGGCCATGCCAAACCCTTGATTAACTTCTGTTAACAATTCAGCAGTTAAATTAACGGCAGCTCGAAGATGTCCATCGGCCTACAAACTTTCAATATTTTGGTCAACATCGCAATACAATGCCATGATGATTATAATACCCTTTATAAAAAAAGATGGATTATAAGCATAGTTAGTGCTTAAATCCTTCTGGACTTCTTTTACTTTTATTGCTTACTTCTGTGACAATACTTTTGGAAATGCTATCCACGATTATAATCAAATGCTTTTTATTAAAAATATTCCTCTGTTTCCAATCAAAATCAAGCAGAGAATTTTATCAGAAAATAAAAAAGAAACCAACAATGAGAAGATGAACCCCGTTCATATCCTTAGAAACTGAAGGTCGACTGATCGTCTTGTTCAGCTTCTGCTCTAGCGTTTTGGCCATTAAATCGGGTAAAGTTACAGTTGCCCTGCAAAAAAGTAATGGATGTTTCGACCTCGACTGCCAGTCTCTGCAAAACAAAACCCGATAAAACTACACAAATCAGAATCAAGTATACGAAACTATGAATTCACCATGTGGATGCTTACTTTAAACCAGGCATGGTATAGTAATCATCAAACTTAGCCAATGAAAGCGCTTCTTTCAATCTATCCGAATCAGGCCATTCCTGCATGTTGCCATCAGAAATCTCCATTTCCTGTAAACCTAGATTGTTATACCTCCGTAGCAAAGGCCCCAAATAAATAATTTTAAAATTAAAAAAAAAATGTTCTGATCATTTATAGAACTTCTCAGTAGTAAAATCAGGCTCCACCTCCCATGTAAAAACACTGCGAATATCTTTCTTTTGTTGGTGCAATAGTTTATTGAGAACCATGGAGTTCAGGTATGACTCGAGAACAAAAAAAAGACAGTATCCAGAAGAATTTCTGGAATGTAACAAAAAAACTGATTAGTGCACAAAGTTCAAAAAAGAGCATCAACAATACACAAACGCCATAAAATGACACTTTTGTTTTAAAAATACCTTGCCTCTTCTAAAATTTCGCCAGCTATCCAGAGCTAGCATTTTCATCCTAAAGAAGATCGCTACAACAAAAAATATGCAAGTAAAAGATGTACAGTACATAAATGGCTCGTAAACAAAAACCAATAGGGAGACCAGTGATTTCAAAATTTGAACACTCTAATGATATCTCCTATCTAAATTTCTGATTACAACGATTGTGTTTGATAACATATGGATTTGTGAATAGGCACTGATGCACAAGTCACGCAAGTATAACTCTACGCATATTGAAAACAAGAGCAAAAAAGAAAATAGTACAACCATAACAGTGAGTGGAGATCAATACTAACAAAAATTTTGAATAAAATATAAGATCAGCGCCGATTGAAGCGTCCTCTTGCACTATTTTTTTTGCCACCTCGACTTAGCATCCCTGAAAACGTTCCACATGAGAGAAATTGTTGCGAAATCTTTTTTTTTTAGAGATTTTTGTGCACATTTTATCTATCTTTTCAAATTTCCCCGAAATTAAGCATCGCTGCTAAGTTCTCCCACTGAGTGCATCTTCGATTTAAAATCAGGCTAGTGAAATATGTTGCATTAACTCGATTGGTATTTATAGTAATAGAAAAAACAACGAACATAAAGAAAGTGCTATGTAAACAAAAAATGGGACTTGCAGAGTTCAGACATTATAGAATTTTAATTCAAAATAAGCTCGAACGCTAACCACTATATTTTCCGCCAGGTGGCACATAGACATCAGGAAGAGGTCTTTTCCGTTTCTGCTCCATCTTAGTTTCCCATTCGTGGTCGCGCTTTCTGGAAGGATTTTTTAAAACTCGTAGATGTGAAAAGAAAACTGCTTTAAAAAACATCACAAATGTTTGAAAATGTACCTATTTTCTGTCTTCCAGCTTGGTGTTATAACAAAATTAAAGGAAGGAGATTTATGAACAAGCATTTTTGTCAAATGAAGAGTATTTTCTGCCATTTTCAGGGAATTTTGTTGGAATGAAAACTGATTCGCATCTCGTTTGGAGGGTTCCAATTTACGCATTTTCTGTAATTCAGAATTGGCCGAAACGATATACTGTTGCAACAATCGACCCAAATAAATGATTCTAAAAAATCCTACGATAAATATAATGTATATCAATGGAAAGGTGTAGTTGTGCTTGAGCTTAATCTTTCGATATGTAACATATTTTATCTTTTCGTATGTAATCGCAAACTATGCCAATCAAGTATAAGTAGGATGGCATAACTAACTATACTCGTCCTTCCTCACTGATCAACATAGTGTACAGTATCTCCTTATTTTGATTGTTATCACCTTTCCAATATAATAGACATTCATGCTAAATTTCTTGAGAAAATCAAAAAAACCTTTTTCGCCAATTAGCTGAATCCTTGCTATGTTCCAATGTATAATCAAAAGCTGTTTTGTCTGTTCTACAGAACGATGCGAAAGCTAAAGATGTTGTTTCCAGTTCGCTAAGACGTAATTCTTGTTCCAAAGATGTATTCACATCTCTCACATTTGCATCAGAACGTTCTGATGGAAGTGGAGGAATAAGCTTCTAAAAATGGAAAACATTCAACCCCATCAAACTAATTAAAGATCCAGTAAATAATTATTAGTTTTTTGTGGATGACGCTAACAATAATGACCCCAGCTTACTGAGACGTAATTCATATTAATTTAACGGCAATCAAAATACGAACAGTAAGTTAACACATAAAATGCTAATAATAAAATATCGATTTAATACCAACCGAAAAATAATCAGCCAAGATCATTAAATCACTACGTTCTAACGATTTCGAAAATGGAGCAAGTTCAACCAAAGCTCGCAAAAATCTAATACGTAATGCTGCATCTACTTCTTCAAGTACAGGAATGCCTTTAGATATCATAAAGTTCACCAGTTCAGTACTTCGATAATTAACCTAGAATAAAATATATTACATTCTCAGTTCAATAATTTTTTTACAAAGATAAATATCAAAAAGCAAATAATGGATGTAAAAAAGGGTAAACTCATTTACTGCTTATTGCTTATATTATTATAGAACCGACCGAGAGGAGTAATCGCGCTCGTTCAACGAAATACAATATCTGATCAAAACGTTGAGGATCGTTAGCCTGTAAAACTATTACTATGGCAAATTCATGAACAAATATGACCACTTAATATTTCAACATAAAGGTGTTTTAATCTGCAATTAAAGAATATTTCTAGACTCATTGCTGATCATCAGCACAGAACTGCTCAATCTCACTACAAAATCTTCAAAAAACAGCAAATAATGAATGCTTTACAGTTGCAAGTCCTAAAATTGTCAAAAGAATTGTTTAGAAAAATACAGGGAATGGTTCATCAATTTGCATTTGATCGACAACGATTTTGTACAGTATCATGCGCCCTTTTGTCGTTCGGAAAAACTCCAATGAACGCATGAAATTAAAAATTAAGTCGAATTCCACAGCTGTGATATCTTTAAGCACCTGCAAAAATAAAAAAATGATACAGAAATGATCATTCAATATAACAGACATATTTGATAGCAGTATGATCACCTCTCGGATGTGATGTTCGATGGATAGCATTAAGTCCTCGTTCATTAAATGAATCGGAATGTCACGTACATGCAACTGGATGAATTTCAATAAGCGCAAACGTACAGACTCCTCCTCCGACTTCACAATATTAATAAATATCGCAGAAAGTACATCTGCATATAATATTATTTATTAAAATTTCTACGAAACTTTGAAAGAAACTGGAGAATTTTTAACAGTTCAAAAAAATTCTGATCCAAAGAATTCCTATCAATTGCATGACCATAAACGTTCTGCATTTATAAAATATTAACCTTTCGGATGAGATTTCAGGAATTGAACAAGGACGTTTGTAAGCATAGCTATTTCCTGGAGTTCATCCGTCTGTTGCAGCATCTGCGACAATACATCAGCAATTTTATCAACAAGTTCTCCAGATTTAACTACATGTGGTATTTCGCGAATCACTGCCTTCCGGATCTGCAACCACACTCGACACGTAATTAGAAGAAAACAGCTGGTATGAAAAAAGGTAAACCGGAGTAATTAGCAGGATCCAATAAATAAAAGATGCAATAAAACGGAACGTCAGGATCTCGATCTTCCAATAATGAAACCAGTGAATAAAATGCCACATTTCGTAAATCCGTGAAATCTTGCCAATATCGAACGATCATGTGTGCACAAAGCTTTTTCACCTTTCCATCGTTCCCTTTGGTGCCCGAAATGAAAACTTTGTAATCTTTGGCATCCTGCAATTTCATGAACTTTCTTGTGCTACCGAGAAAGACTCAACTCAAGCTTACTAAGTCATCATTATTGAAGCATTTGTACCTCAAAGTCTAAAAAACAGTGCAATATTCAAGGCTTACTCATGGCACTTTTCTGCTATTGCAATTTTATCAAGTGAACTCATAATTATCTAAAAAATTCTGAATGCATGGATAATATGAAAACGGATAACCTTAATTTGGGCCTTATCCAGACGTTCACATGCGTCGTAAACATCATCAATTGTTGCACTGCTCATCTTTCAAACCCTTGTTCCACGAAAGCTTACAGCAATAGTAGTAACAAATTTCCCTGAAAAAATTTTCAAACAGTGATCCGGCTTCTTCCTCCTTTTCAGCAAGGAATAGCTCGTAAAAATAAAGGACAGCCATCATTAAGAGAAGAAATCGAAAAGATAGAAATAAAAAAAAAATTATGTTTGGAATGCAAAGATAACAATGGTCATCAGGATGAGAATGCAGTAGAATGCAACCTAAAGACCTGCGATCAGAGACACACCAATAACAGCAAAAAAAATTTGGATGAAAAGGGAGGAGGTAATTTGTGTACATAGTGTCGTGGTCCAAGCTTAGGAGCAAGTATTTGCCCTAGCGATAGGCTAGGCTATTTGAAAAATGAAGATTTAAAGGCTATTTGAAAGATGAAGATTTAAAACTAGCTCGATGTCTTGAGCTAAGTCAGACGTGGTGGCATGGCAAATGGTTTGGACCAAATCTTTCTCATAACGTTACGAAGTGTTGGTATGACTGAGGATGAATATTACAGGCAATGGTACTGATCGATATTAGCACCATTCTATAACAATTATGATCCAGGTCAAAAAATCCTAAGCTAGTGAAATTTCAGATGAAACGACAAGAAACAAACGAGACGCACCACCCACGTGAATATTGCCTCCTCTCCTACCGACATAGCCTGTAGCTAATTGTACCTGGCAATGGCTATTTTGACGCCTTGTTTGGATCAGTATGCGATACTCGCAAGTGTTCTACGTAGTATGGAAGTGTAGGGCGTGTCATGTTAGTTCATAGCATTGTTTGTTAGAAATCTTTGTCTTTCTTTTTGTGCCTCTCTACACGGTTTCACTTTTTATGCCTAATCAGTGTTAACATTACTGTAAGCTGGCATTTGCGGCATGTCTTAATATCTCCGTGTTCCTTTTTTCGTTTTTCGTAATCGGTTCTTATTTCGTATTCAGATCTTGCCCATTCCTTCGTATTTTTCATCTGACTGTTAACATAGTAATGAAGCACTCACAGGACATTTTGTAGATGACAGCGGATTCTGTGAAAGGATGTGAACGTTTTCCAGAAGTTATATAGAGTATGAGATATGGCCCTTCCAGTTCTTTGTGGCTTATTTTTTCGAACAAGAGCAAAGATGACTCCGAAGTCTTCTAAATACTCTTGAAACTGTACAGAAAGTCGACTTCAGGCCAATAAAGTTTTAGGGGTGAAAATACTAGGATTAAAAGTTGAATATTGAGATTGGAAAATATTGCAGAATAGCATCACATTCCACTTTTTTATATTTTTGCGAAGTTTTATATTGAACCAATAAGGGTAAACTATTTTGGGATAACCAGGAAATCTATGAATCGATTCTCGCCATTCAATTTCCAGGTATCAATTCATTTGGTTTTGTTGTTGTAACCGCTCATTTACAATGAATGTTTTGGAATTGTTTGGATTTGATTTTAGTACCACGCTTACCGAGACTCAAGAACTTACGAAAGGTTTTGTTATAATTACTTCTTGTATAATGCAAACCAAGCAAGATACCGGATGTACATTTCCTGTATTTATTTGCTTTTCAATTCATTGGTTAAATGATAGCAGGGAAGATCATGTACATTTTCAGTTCGTCGTTACGGTCACTGCCATCACTCATAAACTTTTTTTAGCTCCCAAATTATATATATACATTACATACATATATACACACATACATAAGTACATTGGTTGTATGATGAAATTTAATGGATGGCAGCCGATGGAAAATCTTTCATAATTAGTTTGCAATTATAGATCTACTGTCGACTGTGTCGACTACCGTTCGATAAATAATTATTAATTTGCTAAAAGTCAAAGAAGTAATAAAGAAACAACAACTGTGTTCTCTATGTTGACTTACATGGTTCCATACGCAATTTTAATTATGTATTTGTTATGTGCTTAAGTTTGTGTACAAGAAAAAAGTGGTGTTTACAACGTGTGAAGCATGGTCTCAGGCAATTTATTGTTGGCTGAAGACTGATCAATTTATGCAGAATAACGGTGGTCGTTTTTGTTGAGTTCAATTATAATGAGCTGCTAAAAAATGCTTTAGTGTTTTATTTTTATTATTTTTCTTTCCTTATAGATTTTATATCATTTTTAGATTATGAACGGTCCAATTTGCTGTTAATCACTAGACTGATATTGCGTGTATTTTTGAATGAAAGTATGCGTTTGCGACATCGCATTATCAGTGCCGAAATACGTTCACTCACTGATCTTTTCGTCATTCTTGAGAAAATTTTGTGGCATGGTTTTAGAAGTTCAGGTTTCATAACTTTTTATGCTTTAAATACAAACTTTTCTCAGGATGTATTACTGAAATAATTATAAAAAAGTTCAAATAATCTGTATTTTTCAGTATAAAATAAGTCTCGATGACTCTAGAAATTCTTTTTTAGGTTGAGCATTAGCACGAGATTTTCCTTTATAGATAACTTCTTATTTGCGGTAAAAAACCGCAATGATTTAAAGTGATAAATACTATTAGAATTACACTTTGATAAATCCATATTTCACTTTTCTTTATAGTCCAGAAGACAATGATAGCATTGCGCGCCCCAGATTCCGAGTTATGGAGTTGTCTTGGTAAAGTTGCAAACGTAAATCCAGATATGAACGAAAGTTACCAATGCATTGACCGTCTTGATAATATCACGTTGGTTGTTGTTTTTTGAAAATTGAATCAGTCTTGTGAAGAATTATGATAAACATTCATTCATATTTGATGCGCTGTAGTTTGCGTAATATCACAGATCGGTTTGCAGAACTCCTCTGCTTCGAATTCGAGCCTTCCTGAGATTAGCTGTCATGCAGAAGAAACTTGGCATCTACTTCGAAAATTTGATTACTTCAAACTACATCAAGTATGGAAATTTCATGTGAAGATGTTTTTCAGCTGTCTTTTTCTAAATTTGGGAAGAGAATTCAAAAATTAGCCGCCACGTTGCAGTTGTACTCATGTTCGTGACAACATGTTTGGGAAAATTTAAGTTACTTTTAAAACAGGGCAAAATTCGTCAGAGTACTGAGATCCTGATTTGCGCTTTGTATTCAGGTTAAGAGTGAATATGATATGTTTTATATTTATAAAGTATTACATGGTTTGCTCATAAGATTAACGAAATATGACATTTTATAAAATGTTTTCCGGGACTTCTACGAGCCGTGGGCATTGATTCGACATGATGAATGCATCGGTTTATCTGGAGCACTGATGGCACTTTCAGTTCTTGATTGCAATCTGGTGTTAGATCAGGCGCAGCTAGGAAATCAACCCATGTAAGTCCCGAGTTTCTGTTGACACGTAGATTTTTGTTCAGCTTTTTCTTTATTTCATTTTTTTTCTTTTTTAATGATGATTTTCATGCTAATCTACTTTTGAACTGTGAAACACGTGTATATTAAAGAACTGTTGAACTATCGGCTTATGTCTGTTTACCAAACTTGTCGAATAATACTAATGGTGAAAAGGAACCTGATATGACCGATGAAAAGTTACTGGAACTTGCTCTTGATCAAAAAAATTATTTAGAACAACGAAATCATTATTTGGAGTAAGCTTTTTGCAATAAAATTTATTCCATCAAGTCCCTCAAACATGTTGGTTTTGATGAAGCAGATAGCTCGTTAAGTGTGTTAAAATCCTTGAAAAGCAAACTTTTTATCCCTAGGTTGTTTTTTATCTCATACTTCGGTGTCATCACTATAGATCCAAAGTGGCTGAGTTGAAAGCGAAATTGGAAGAGGTCAATCTGTCTACTCTCAAGAGCATCAGTGTAAGATATTTTATAATTTTGGAAATGTAATACTTTTGATTTATTCTAAGTCACAGTTTGTCAAGATGAGTGGATAAAGACTTTAAATTTTGATCTTATAGTAGAACACAAATGCATTTGAAATAATATAATTTTTCCAGTTAGCTGATGCTGCAGCGGAACATGCATCGAAGATGACTAATGAACATATTGCTACAACGGAAGCACTAGAAAAGGAAAAGTATGTTTTTATTACCGTTCTGTTTCAGATATTTTATTCAGTTTGAAGTAAGAAGCAATTTATGCTTAATGTTGATTGCATTCCAGAGCGGTGCTAGCTCAGTTAGCATCTGAAAAAGAAGATTCTGTACGAATTTTACGCCAGCAACTAGCAGATACCAAAAAAGTGAACGTTGATTTGTATGAAAAAATTCGTATTGTGGAGGGGAAATGTCGACAACTGGAAAAAGATATGATCAATGCCAATAAGCGATATAACTATGTAAATTTTCCTTTCAATAAAAAAATTGTTATGGATTCATAAACATCCATAACAATTTTTACAAGATTTTATTTGTAATTATAATTAATAGTGGGATATTACTAAAAGTCAATATTAAATAAAAGTAACTTGTTGAGGAGAGAGAACAGCAACAGCAAGTGATTGATATATTGAACAAAAGAAATTCTGTGCGTGAAATGGATTTAGAACATGAAACTGAAACTTCGGAAATGTTGAAAAAGGAGCTAGCTGATAAAACTGATGAATACATGCAAACATTGAATGTGTTGGAAAAAAAACAGGTGAGAAGTTTTAAATTTCCAATCAATTTTTGATTTCAAATTTAAAATGGCGTATATATTTTGCATATGGAATTAAAACATTTGACGTATAGTACGTGTTTAGCAGGAATTGGTTGTTGTGAATGACCAACTTGGAAAACTGCAGCGTCAGACTTCTGAGTTGAATGAAAAGCTGAAACAGTTGCCTGTGATAAAACAGGTTTATTTTATTCTTTATTTAAAATATTGAAACTGCATAAACTCTGACTTAAAAGTTATGCTGCGCGCATAGTTGGTTTGCCGGTTTGCCATTGTGACCGTCGCTTTCAGTGTGAGGTTTAACACATACAAAGTTTCAAGAACTAACAAAACAAGCATCGAGCTAGTGAAATATGAATAGAATCATGTTTTGTTCTCTATGTTCCTCCATTCATCTACAGTTTGCTGTATTCACTGATTCTTGGCTTCGCTACATTATCACTCATTTTCTTTACATAAAGTTGTTTTCTAATTTTGATTATCTTTTAGGAACTGGAAGAACTGACTGCCAGTTATAAATATAAAAGTGAGAAACTGGAGGATTGTGAAAAAGCTCTAGAAGAACTTGGTGGTCATCTTTCGGAGTATGTCACCAGTTATATAGAATTTAACACTGGTATTCTGCATAATATTTCTAATGGCTTGTAAGAAAAGTGTTATTGTTTCAGGTCAAAGTTAAAAGTAGTTGAATTGAAAGAAGAACTATTGCCTCTTTCGGAAGCTGAGTGGGAAAAGGATGGTAATGTCTTGAACTGTAAAGGATGCAATTTGCAGTTCAGTATGAGTAAACGAAAACATCACTGCAGGTCTATTCAGAAAGTGTATTTTGTAACAAAACAAAGTGGACGAGCAAGTTGAGCTTATATATTCATGAGGATTGATTCATAAGTATTAGTTACGACCGAGATTTTCAAAATAATAAGCTCGTGTTTTTTTTTTTTTAAATTAAACAACTTCTGCTTTAGGAATTGCGGCTCTATATTTTGTAATTCATGCACTGATGCGCGGGTCAAACTGCCTTCTAGCGCGAAACCAGTGCGAGTCTGTTTGCACTGCTACAACTTATTGCGCTCGCGACATAATTCTTCATTAGAAGAAAATTCATCACTTAATTCTTTTTAATTTTGATCGATGTAACTGTCAAATAGCTCATGTAAATAACCCTGTGTTGATTTACGTATGAGAATGGTTGTACTGTAATTTTCTGCTATTTTTGTGATCCCTTTCTTGTCACTCCATTCTCTCAAGTTTTTTGTTGATGAAAATCAAGTGACATCCTGCGAATGATTTATCCTGATATAAATGTTTTAATGTTTTCAGAATAAATGGGTTTTGGATTTATTTTAACTTACCTTGTAATAAAACATTTCTGGTCTTAGTAGACCACTAAGTCAGATGACATAAGATGGGGTCCTGATCATCATGGTGCATAGCATGGATTTTTAACATGCGTTTGGCCTAACTTCTTTAAGGTACACCGTGCAGTGACAGCAGCAATTGCATCAGTCGAGTGAAGGAACTGGTTGTTTTCTAAACGACATATACGTTTTGATTTTCGTTTTCCTCTTTTTACTATTTAGAGGCACTATTCCATTGTTGTTGTCACCACTATCATCACCGCAATAATGTTCTCGTCATCTGTGTCCCTCACCCCGAATCATTCAAACTGTCCCCGTTCTCTCCTGCTTCCCCCGTCTCCCTTGCCGACACCTCCTGATTTGTCGACACCGCTTACGTACCATTATACTATTTCGTCTCATCCATCTAACCAATATTTGTGCCCATCCCAGTCTTCTTTGAATTTTCAACGTTTTGCCCGCCATATTTTCTCAGTTTATTTCCTTACTTTTCCTTTTCTTCTTACTAATTAGACTTTTAGTATCTAACAAATCACGCATTATTTTCATTAAAAGTCAGTTGATTTTACAATTAGCAAAAGATTGATTTTCCTTCGAAATATTCGTAACTCTTTCTGAACCATTTTCAGAGTTATGTATGCAATAAATCGCTTATTTGTTTGCTGAAGATCATTTTTGGATTTTAAATTCTGTAATACAACATGATTCTGAATATTGAAATATTATCATTTAAAATGTCTTGATTAACTTACATCTCCGTATGATTGTTAACTAGCACTTATTTTCCAGCGAGATGAAATAAGGCAGCAGTGAAGAATGAAGGGTTCATCAGTTATGTTCAATGAAGCGGGAAGAAGTATTGAGTCCAGCTGTTTGATTTTCAAAAAGAAAGCGGTTCTTGTTTTAAAGTTGCATTAATCTATGGTAATTAGATGAGAATAGGTATAAGCCCTCAGGCTACGCATAGTAAAAGATTTAGTAACAATAAAAGTTTCGTTGATGTTTTTCGTTTTTTCCAAAATGTATGTTGATTCAGTGGACGCGGTGTTACTTATTATGCTCACAACCGAATGATATCAGTGTCGTTGTGCTCTATGTTTACAAAAATCATAAGCAACGTTTAAAAAATAAGGAAACCTCAGCGATCTCACTCAGTACCTTCGTTGGTCTCGAAACTGGTTTGTTTTTCTTTTTTTTGATTTTTAAGAAATTCGCGTTATTATTATACAGATGAAATAATCAATACTTGTTTGGTAACAAGCAGGTCTTTTGATGGCATTTTTTTCAGGTTTTGAGCTAAAAAATCGAAATAATACAATGTGTGTAATCACACAACAAGATATTTTGATCGTTTCGTTTCAAGCAGCTGAAATATTAACAATGTGGGAGACTTGGATTTATCATACTTCTTTCAAAGGTTATTACTTAGCCCTGTCTCATTCAACGCTTTCTGTATTATTGCATTTCGATGACATTTGTATTTTGATGATGTTTTGTTGACTTATCTTTAATATTCGTTCCACTAGACCAATGGATGCATCGGTCTCTGTGTTTCCATTTTGCTGAGCTTTCGTTTATTAAAGACTTCACCAAATACACCTTTCGAATATCTACCCTAGCAAGATATAGAAATGATAACGAGGAAGGCACTATTGAAGTATGGCTATACTGTATCACAAAAAGTATATGTTATTAATTGCGAAGAAGAGATGCTTTCTGCAACTGGTAGTTGTCAGTTGATCCCGAACAATTTATCGGTTGCTTAAAAAATTAATCAGTTGCTTGAATAACTCTGCTACATCGTCATATTACTTCGCAATGCTCTCATATCCGCTTCACCTTCTTATCTGTTCGATACGTCGGAATGGAATAGTTTTTATGGGACATTTCTATAATAATTATACTTGGTAGCTAATTGGAACGCAGAACATCTTATAGTGCACTGAGATGACTGATCAATCGGAAAGAAGAGGAATCCATAATTCATTTCTGATAGACTGAAACATGAGTAATTTAATTGAAAATTTTGAGAAATAGCTTGAAGGTTTTAATTCAGCCTTTATCGAATTCTTAGTGGTAATGTAAACCTGAAAGTGTTCATATTACAGGTGTTCAACACAAACTAATCGGTCAAAAAAAGATCCTTGTATAGGGGGTGGTGTGACTTAGTCCTTTTATTACTTGTAAGGACTAGTACCAGCTATGCCAAACTGTATGATTTATTTTTCCTTAGTAATGTAAGTAATAATCAATATTTACTTTTTTTATGCTACATTTTCTTACCATCTTTTTCCCTACAATTTTATAAATATGTGTGTAAATTTGCAGGTTCACTATTTTATGCACAACTGGTCGGTGCGCCTGAATCAAGTCGCGCACATGAGTCGTTAAATTGCGAAGTTCGATTGCATATACATGTTAGTTGTTGAAATTTAATCGTAATCCTTCAGTTCTTTGATCTAAAGCTATTAAATTTGCCAAGTGAGGGAAATGAGGAAACACAGGAAATGAGAAGGAGAAAGTTGTGGGACCTAAATGGTTCATTCAGGATTTTCAGAATTATTCCATTTTAGGATGGCCGTATCGCACTTGTTGACGGTTATCCACAACGTTTGATAGGTTTCTGGTTTCTGGACGAAATTATTCGGGTTTGTTTTAACGACAATAAATTGCAATTCTTCGCAAATGATAGAAGTGGTTTGGATGATGGCATGTATTCGCTGGTTTGTGGACGAATACAGCTCCTCGAGAAGCACTACAATTTAGCTAATAAGCCTGTAAGTTGCTCTCGTGCTCTATCTCAGTTTATGAATTTCACTTTTCAATAACTTTTTAGGTTATTCAAACGGCAGTGGAATGCGATAGTATTACTATTTGACGCAAGTCCGAGAATGCAGTCTGTCAGAACGTGATGGACACAGATCAGATTTAATTGCATGAGACGTCTGATCCATGGTTTGGATCTGCTCCCCATCACCACGTCAGTTTAAAAATATGTATCGTTTGGAGCTGCAACTACATCCTTTTCAATAACAATATATTCTTTTAATAATCTTCTAATTTAGGGGTTACTTACCGCATTCATGAAGCAGAAAGAAGGTGATGGATTGTGGTATAAGGATAAGTTTGCTGATTCTCCACAAACAGTAATCCAACATCCCACTATGTGTAGCATTCAAAACTCCGATGTAAATCATTTTGGCCTTTCGTAAGTTTATTTCCTTATTGAGAATCAATAGATTTAAGTCCAAAAAATTTCTTAAGAGCTCGAGAAACTAGAACTTTTGTTGATTTCTGGTGATATGTAATTAACCAAACATGGCATTCTCTCACTATATTACTTTGTATGCTTCAATTTTAGCAGTGTACATCGAAGTTCGAGCCTCAAAACAGGAAATTCAGGTATTTTTACCTTATCATTCAATTATTCAACTTAATTTAACTCAATTTAGTCTATGACCACTTTTATAACGACACTATTTCAAGTCAAGTAACATTAATACTTTTTTCAAATTTTAATTTTAAAATTTTCTTATGAACCTTCCGGAAAACTTAGAGTAAGATGTATAGGTGTGGAATTTGCACTGATTAACTGAACAAGATTCTATTTTTGCTTGCAGAATCCCCAATTGGTGCTCAGGCTTCATATGTCAATGTACTGACCGATCCCAGATTTCTTCCGTTATGTAAGTGACATATGCAAATACTGAGTCATTACAGAATCATTCATTCACGTGTTGTATCCGGAAAACTATACCAAGATCGTATGGTACTTTTAGACTATTTTCCATCCATACTTGGATCCATATGCCATCAAAGCGATTTATAAATAAGGTACCAGTCTGATACTATTTGGACGAACCATACCAGGCAACATTCGATTCGATTGACTTAACCGTAATTAGGGAACGGTAATGACTGGATAAGATTAAAGCAGATGATCCGAAAGCTTGATAGAAACATCTAGTGGAGTTTGTGACACCAAATCGAACAATCCTAAAGCTATCGTGGATGATGCTTAAGTGGAGAGTTTCAGTTCCTTCTACTCTTCGCAATGGACAGTGAATATGTGAGTGTGTGTATGTGTGTATGTGTATATGTATATGTATATATATGTATATGTGGGTATGCTATTTCCAGCTAATGTTCCATCGATGGCATCGTGTTGTGTGCCGTATGTAAATTATACGGGTGAGGAATGCCTGCATTCGCAGAGTGAACCTTCCGTGCTATCCATCGGACATTGGGATAAATCATCCTGTGTTCTTCTCAGTTCATCCACCAGGGATCGCAAGACTCCGGTACTCTCGAACACTACTATATCAAGTAAATCCTTATCACGTGCAGATAGCTGGCCGAAACCACTGACTGATGAAATCATCCGAGGGGTTAGTTATATTTGAATTGTTGAAATTGCAGATGATTTGAAATGGTATGTGGTTTCTCGCATTTCTATGACAATTATGAAAACAGACAAACTGTTTAGGTTCTAAATTTTACATGAGTTTGTCTTTTGCTTGACATATTTCTTGAAAACAACTCGAGTAGCATGCTCATATTATGATTTTTGGTAAACAAACATCCTACGCCATACAATAGTTGAAAATGTTTTAGAGAGAGATGTCTGTGCTTACTCAGAAATGGTGTGCTGTTAATGATAGGGAAACTAAAGGACGATTTGTGAAGCAAGAAAAGAAAAGTAGTACTGGAATTAAACATTACGATTCTGGCAACTTTCAGGAGCAATCTGGGTTAGTTCTGATCAGTTTTTCCGAAATAAACCTCTTTTAACCGAATCAACTGGAATTTTGATCTAATGCCATTCCATTATAGTATACTTTCCGGTGCAAGACGAAAAGCTCAACTCTCATATTTTAATGGTACTAATCCATCCAGTGACTCTTCAAGCGAGCATTTACAGTAGTGCCAGTTATTCAGCCACATTTTAGCTCAACAATTTTGACACACTTGTTTTTGGGAAACAATCTTAAAATTTCGGGAATATAATTATTGCTACTGTTGTAGTAAAACTACAAAGAAGCACAAAGTTTTTATTCTGTAACAAACAAGGAAACTGATCGTTATCAATCAAACTTCGAAATATTTAATTCAGTTTGTGTCTCGTACTTTATAATTGTTCCACATAGACGTCTTCCTAAACGTTCGAGGTCATTGGGAATGGAATCTAGATATTTAAATTCATCACGAGAGAAAAATTGGAATCGTGCGAAACGTATTATCGGTGGTGTGAGGAAATCGATTAATGATTTGAATGCTTGTAAAGTAAGTGGATAATATAGCTCGGTTCATTGTATACTAGACAAAAAGGCGATTTTAATTACATTTTAAGTCCTTGTTCAATTCATAAGAACCAGTTTGTTCTGTGTTTTCTAATATTTTTGCACAAACATTCACTTAAATTATGTATATATGTATATAATCTTTGTTTGTATTTTTACTTAACTTCATTTCAGTTTTCGGCGTCTTTAGATAAATTAGCATTACCGGCAATGTTACATCACGAAACAACAGTTAGTTTTAAACCTTATTTGCCTTGTTCATTTTACATTTTTTTTTTTTGGATGAGCATTAAGCGTTCACTAACTCCAAAGTTTGTAGGTAGTGGCATTATCATCTACTGATGGTACCAACCAAGTTGAAAGAATACCTGATGGCTTGAAGGAGCCAGAATTCACGACCCAAGGTTAATAGTGTGTATTTTTCGAGCTTGAATGATTTCTTTAACGGTTTTCAAAATGTTGGTCAAAAATAAAGAAAAAATTATGCAAATCGTAAGTTGAACTATGTGATTGAAAAAAGCTATTTATTATTTTCGTTTTTGATTGGTACCAAAAAACATTTGAATTCGTTGATTCATGAGTGCATAATAATTGTTACATTCTTTTCGTGATTCCAACTGCAATTAGGAAATTTGTGATATGCGTGGATAAATTGATTGTTTGTGTGCAAATATTAAATCCTCAACCTGTGCTCCTACTTATTTTAATTTTTTCAGGTCTTGCCTTGTCATTATCTGCACAGTCTATGAACAGATTACCTGGCCTAATTAAATTACCACCCAAAAAATTTAGCCTTATACGTGCTCGTCATATACTTACGAAAAGCCTACAGAAATCGATTTCAGGTTCATTTTCGGTATGTGAAAATTTTCGATTTTAATCTGTTTTCGATTAAGTTCATTGTTCTAGAGCAAATCAATTCCGGTACTTTCAGGGTCTTAAAAATGAATAAACTTTAATAACCTTGTTATAAAAACTTATGATAACAAATGAAAAATATAGGGAAAGTAATCAATTAATGATTAATGAAAAATGAGTTATTGCAACTCGTTCGTATTCTGTTGAGCTTCCTAGAAGTATGACGGTGAACGATCTGCGAATCATTTCAATCTAGAAGATGCCAAATGCACAGTTCCTATGATTGACAGTATCGAATCGGCAGTGAAAAAGAGTCGAGCCCGCTTACTTGAAGCCGAACGGCGAAATTCGGGATTTACCGACAGAGCAAGTCCAACGAACCCATCTAGGTCTGGCTAGGGTTTTTTATTTTCATTTGATTTTTGATTGCTTCATTTATCTAAGTTGTGTCACAATTAAAACATCTATGTGGAACATGCTAATTTTTTCTAAATTTGGATTATATTTCAAAAGTAAATTACCCCAGATTTTCATTCTGAATTTCCCTCATGTCTTTGGTATTGATTTTTATATAGTATGAAAGAGAGAAAGTTTATTTCAGCCATTCAGTGTGGACAACATTGCCAGAAAATGTGGCAGTACCATCGACTTGGTCAAATGTTGGTCCTTCTTATGTTACTGAATCTTGTTTACCTAGCTACGATCGGAAATCGCCGGTAAAGACTGTTATATCAACTGTCGATGAATGCTGTAGTGCTGTGAAGTTAGCTTATCTTTTTTAATTCATAGTAGCTCATAGTATATTTGAAATGTTAAGTTCACAATTTAATTTCTTAATGGAATCAAATATAGTGTATTAGTTCTGATAAATTATTGGCCCTTTCTCAGCCAATAATTTCGAGTATTTAAAATTAATAAGACAATAAAAGAAAATAATATTTCAGCTTGCTTCCAATAATACCAGATCGAGACTCTTTCAAAAAAACTGAAAGTCTTTCTCCAGCATCAGTGAGAATGGATTTGCTGCCACAAATGAAACGGCCATCGAGAGATGGAAGCTTTATAGTGGGTTTCAATGGATCACAAAAATATACAGTTTCTTTCCTTGGTTTTTACTATAACTGTTTGCACAGCGTAAGGATAGAGAATATTGCATTTTGAAGTGTAAGCTGCAGCAGCAAACTTTTCTGTTTAGAATCTTGCAGCACTGGCAAATTACATTTGATCAGAGAAGGTTTTTTGGATTTACAGAATTTAGAGGTATCTATATTTTATGCATAGGATTTTCTGATTTAGCTTATTTCTCCAAATTAGATATTTTCAGAATCCCTTAACAGCTGCAAAGGACACAAATGCAGAAAAAGCCCGGACAATACCATTATGCACAGCAGTCTCACTTTCAGGAAGTTACTGTAATTTGGAAACCAAAAGTAGCAGGAATTTACCCCAAAAATCATCCGAAGTTTCCCGTATCGTTTATGTACAAATCGATCCTGTGGCTACACTTGGCGCGATACAGGTGTCAATTTTATAATAAATCAATGCACCAAGTTTTGTTAGAAGTGTGATTTCTATTTGTTTTAATTAGTAATCGGTACGAATATTTCCAGTTCTACTTATGTCATCATAGAATGATTATCAAAGATTATTACTCCCAAAGAATGTTTACTTTTGCTTCTCCTTTCAAGACCCAACAAACTATGATGAGGGATCGTGCACGTGTTGGCAACTTAATTAAAAATAAGCGTTTCTCGAGCCAGAATAACGTGGAAAGCAAGGATCGAAGTGGTTAGTTTCGATCAAAAACATTAAATTAATTTCAGTCGTCCTAAAATATTTAATTGTTTAATTGGCTTAAATTTGCTATAAAGTTGTTCGTTGCTAATTGAAATTTGCTATTTATTTTCCAGATGAAGGGTGGAACAGAAGTGGTTTTTTTGCTCGTCGTTTGTGGCGGAAATTCCCAATATCGAAGTCATACTCTGATCTCCGTTTCTGACGATTTCATAAATTTATGCATGTCAGTGTCGTTATAATTGCGGACTAATCAATCAGCAGGTGTCTTTTTAATTTCGAATCAACTTGAATACTTTTTGCTGTGCGGAATAGAGAATCCCTTCCAAGCTTTTAATTATGAACTGGATTATTGAAATTTCTTTTATTCTATTAATGACCGATTTCTAATATCATTATGAAATTGTCAAATTTCATGATATGAATTTCAATCTATTTTGCGTTATTTTTCGGTTTTATCCATTGTTTACTGGTTTTGTTCCGTAAATGGTGATTGTAATATTCTGAACACGATGTAAATAATAATGCTACGATTTTTCTTATTTATCTTTTTCATGCGATTTTCTTCCTGTCAATAGCTAATTTTCATATTTAATTTTTGTTCATTTTTAAATAAATAAAAATGATTTACTGATCTCTCTCCTTATCTGCCGCGAAAATCAATCTATTCGTTCCATAATGTTTCTCGTAAAAGTGTTATAAATTGGAATTACTCGCATATATGCAATGAAATCAAAAATTTTCCACCACAAAAACGTTCTCGAATTTACATAACAATGGAAGTAACCATAACTTTAGCAATTTATCATAATAATTTAACATCAGTTATCGCAATTTCATGTATGTAGCTACTGCTGATGATATACCGTCATGCTATGATTAAATATGCTCGTAACCTCTGTGAGAGTGAAGTCAATTTTGTATCTTCCATTAAGAAACAATACGAAAAGTGCAGGAAGTTTCCATTTTAATCAATTTCTCCACCATAACTTACACATACATCCCCTCCAGTCCTCCGCCCTTTCAGATGATCGCAACTCACTTTTATCCCTCATCCAAAATCGAGTGACTTCCAACTTTCAGCTCTTCATAGCCTCAAAGAACCTGTAATGCCTTATAATTTGAAAACCGTAAATGAATTCATTTTTAAACACTGATTGAACCATTCCAAATTACTCCGCTTCTCCTGTTATAACTTATTGATCGTGAAAATATAATGAATTCACTGTATTATCATCATTTTGTTGATCCAACTGGTAACTGATGTTATGTGCTTTCGTCTTGCTTTATAGAAGCAGATGAAATGATATTGTTATGATTTTAGGGGCTAGATCTCGAAATTTCTTCTCGAAGCTGTGATTCGAATCAAGTAGGTAAGAAATTTTCTCCAAATTATTTTTTCAATTATTTTTTCCAGAAATGAAGAAAGTAATGAAGTTATGAGGAAGACAAAAAAATGGGTAAATATAAGTACTGGTGTTAGGCCGTTGGGAAAAGTTAAAATGATTTCAATACAGGATATCTTCATTTATAGATACAAGATAAAAACAAACTGTTATACTTTTAACGCTTATTATACTTTCAGGTTAATGGGTTGCTCTTTCGAATTTCCAACCCTACTTAGTTAATCCGATGTCTGTGATCCCGGCACTGTTAATAAGATACTGACCTTCCTCTTGTCTTAGACTTCCTTTCAATTTTTCGGTGCTCAACTATTTCTCATGCCTACTCTTACACATACCGCCTTCCGGCGCTCATTGTCACCGTTGTGAGAGATGACGTCCAACCTGATTTGTAACCATTTTCCTTTGTTAAATTGACTGTTACCTTACAACGTTAACCAATATGAATAATGCAGTTTGTCAAAATGAAATACGAACAATTTATAATAGAAATTTGGTTTTGGTTTTTCCGATGTAGGCTGGAAAAAATTGGCAAATATTAGCAATAAGAATTTCAATTGAAATGAATTTGTGAACTGATTTTTGAACATTCATTTCTTTTTGAATTCTAAAAAGATTGAGATTGAAAATGATGTGGTGCAAGGAAAATGTGGGGAAAATAGTGAGGTCCTGTTCCGGCTGTTGTCATTTTTTCAGTTATCAATATTATGCTGATTGTCAATTTTGTTCCTTCCACCAAATTTTCATTAATATGATTTTGAGTATCATTAAAAACTGTAGTTTTCGATTATCCGTTTCTACGATTTTTAATACTGTTTTTCTCCCATTTCTGCTGTATATTTCGTAACTTATTACTTTAAAAAAACCAAGTTTCAAACAGGTTTTTGCATGAATTAATTTTGAATGTTCTGGGTATCCATAAAGTTCATTTTCAATTTTTTGAAAAAGAAAGCTCTCTGGATTACCCGATGTTGTCATTTACTAATTTCATCAAACTAATTTCATTAAATACCACCACTTCAATCAATTGTTTAAACAAAAGGTTTTTTGGTTTTTTGATGATTTTGGGTCTATTCGAAGATGAAGGTACTAGTAAGGCATTTTTCTAACATGCATTTGGTTCTCAAGCTGATCTTTTTTCTCCAACTAATTTGATAGTGGCAAAAATAATTAGAAATTAAATTAAACAAAAGGAGTTTTTTATACTTTGTGCATAAAATAATATTGGAAATTATATTATTACTTTTTTTCCTTTAAAAAAAAAGATTTGCAAAAGAAATTTGTTTTTAAGTTTGTTCTCTCTTCATTTGCGTTCTGACGTTGTCAAATATCTTTTTTTGAACTGCGGAACTTTTTATGAGTTGTAAATTTATGAAAATTTGGAAATGATTCATAAAATGTTTTAAAACATATAGCTCCTAAAGAGTAATATGTTTTTCTTGGATGGTCGTATTCTTTCTAACTATAAAAACAGAAGCAATAATAAGTTTACATCCAAGTAATAGCTAATGTAATCTGGAAATTCAATGAAGAAGGAAAATGTTCTATTTTGATTAGTGAGGAAACTATTTTTGACAAAATAAATTTTAATTTTATTCTGTTAAATAAGTTTTTTATTTCGGAGATTTGATTTTGACATGACAAGGCTTCGCAATGTCTTTTATACCCATCCTCATTTCTCACAAAATACATCTGAAGGAAGAGGATTTTAAGACTTAAAATTTTCAAGAGATTTTAGCATGCCTTTTCCAAAAAAAGACAATCCACCTTGGCCTAAAGAATATTTCATAACACGAGTTGTGCAGTGGAATTTGATCCAACTATCGATGGTAATTTTAGCGCATTATTTCCAATGACCATCCCAACTTTAGCAGCTTGGAAACAGTTAGGTCAGTCAACTTATTTTCAGTAAAGTTGTATTTAATATGTGATCTGCTGCTATTTGTAGAGCTGAGCCTATCTAAAAATAATTGAAATGGAAGAACTGGTTACGTGAATGAGGCCTCGCAGAAAAAACTGGAGCGGCATACTGTCGTTCAGTGAAGTGACGGCGGGCGTAATGAGGAGTAGTTGAACTTCTTGGGAAAACCTTCTATGGAAACGTTTTTTTCAATTTCAGTTTAGGATAATCATCAATCGACTATATGCCATTTAATTTCAGCATGGTTTACTAAGTTTATGTTTCAATTAAGCGTGTTCAAAAACAAGGTTTCCGATCAGGTTCATCTGAGAAAAAAGACGGATGGAACGAGGAAATAAGAAAATTTGGTGAAGGAGCGCAGGAAGGATGAGAGATGGAAACAGGTTTTGCTACAAGTGAAAAGTAAAAAAAAAAAATGGAAGTAACTGAGAGCGAAATTAGAACGAGTTTACAAGAAATGTACTTTCTCCTTTTGAGCACCGCGAGAGGGGTGCAGGGGAAAATATCTGTATTGCCTATCATGTGTTTGGGATTATAAATGGAGCTGTCCTGTTGTTCCAAACATTAAATAGGTAACAATTTTGTTTCCTGAGAAGAATCAATCAATACTAACACTCTCGAGCATCGGATGTCTTGATTGGCTATCGATTGTACCATTTTGGCTCTGCCTTCTCTTTTATTTTCAAGTAAAAAATGATGAACTATTTATATGTACAAGATTTCATATTATTTCTTATATATTGTTATCAGTGGAAAGAAATCTCCGTTATAGCTATTTGCAAGACAGGGTAGGGAATGGAAGAGGACAGAAGGAGTCGGCGACAGAATCTATAGACAAATAAGGATAGTTTGTTACCATTAGCGCTTTTGCACCGTTTGTTATTTCCAATTATTTTTTACGCTGATTCATACGTTTTCACTTCCCGTTTTGATCATCTTCGGGTGAGGAAAAAAAGAAAAGTTGAGAATGGACACACCTGTCTTTCTTTCCCTTGAGTTCTATATCCGATGAACACGATTCAAATCCTGTCAACTGCACGACTTCCTGAAAGAAACGGTTCAATTCATCAAAATGATTCGTGCAATCACTGATGACTGTTCAGCTATTCGTGCTTTCCTTACATGAGGTTTCGTAATTTGAAATTTTTCTATTTCTATTTCTTAGTTTGTCTAATTTAAGTAACCCAAAGAAAACCAATCTACAACTCATTAATTATGTTCAGTCACACTTCTTGACTAATTAGTTACTCCCTTTTCCAATTATTTGTACAACTTTTTAAAATCATGAATAAAACTTTAAAAGAGGAAGAAAAAGGATGTGTGGAAAGGTGGCGCACGAAAAAATTGCATTTATAATAATAAATATGGCAATAATTTATTATTTCCGCACAACACATTCTCTGTCAATTTAATTGGTGATGACATTCCACAAAAAGATTCGAAAAGCTTTTCAAAATTACAAAAATAGCGACTGCAGTCGTTCATTGTGTTACTATCATGCAAGATTGCCAGACCCTTTTATTATAGGGTAATAAACCCACTTTATTTTCAAGTATAATCTAGAATTTTTGTTTGAAAGAAAGGCTCAGCATAATAATTCTCAATTAATAACCTTTAAGTAATTTACAGATTCTTTCGTTCATTTTTCTTGCAAGAGGGTTGACAACTATTGACAACTAACAAAAAAGTTCAAATGAAACAATTATCGATTTGTCCACTTTATGATATTACTTTTTGCAATAAATATGTGACATTTGTATATGAAAGTTTTCAGTTTCACATGGTGTTTAAAAGCAGCCTGGTAAAAATGATTTCCTTCCTTTGCAAAAAGAAATTTGATATTATGTTCAAATTTCGGGAAACTGGCTCCGGTTGTATCTC